TATTAACGATCAAACAGTGTATACATACTTTTGGGACACATAAAAATGAGCACAGTGTGTACGTTGATTAGTTTGTTTGAGCACTCTTGAACTGATTTTTTTCTATTTTTTGGTGCAAGAATGGCGCATCAACCCAATAGTGTCTATGTTAAGCTCAGCAATACTTATTGTTAGTACCTCTACAGTTAGCCTGCGCTGCCATGGACATTGGCTGAAAAATTTTATTTGAAGAGACAAGCGAGGTTTGAGTTGCGAGGAGAAAATGACGTCATCAGCATCAACTTTGTATTCTGATTCTTTCTATCTTTGAGTAGCAACACTTTTTTTCACGAAATTCTTGCAGACAATAACTTTCTTGCTAATGTGTGTAATTGCGTATTCGAGACAGAAGCCCCACACAGGTTTTCTCCTGTGCTTTTTCTTGTCATTGTTGCTGTTTGGGAATCGCTAGAGAAATTTGAATGATAACAATTTGTGCATTTCTTATGGCAATGGCTGTGCCGCTTCGCCCTTAACAACATGAAATTTGTGTAATTGCACACATTTTCAGGGAAACCTACCTGGGCTGCAATTTCTAAGATAACTACCGTTTAGGTGTGCGACCATACAAATGCGAGCAGTGCGACAAGTCGTTTACGCAACGCTGTTCGTTAGAATCGCATTTGAGAAAAGTTCATGGAGTCCTTCATAATTATGGATACAAAGAGAGACGAAATAAGGTTTTGTTGTAGTAATGGTCCTTCATCTAGAAAGGAAATATAGGGCTTATTTATAGGTATTTGTTTGCGAAGAATGTGGCTTCACGTCAGAGCTATTCGATGTTTACGTTTCTCATCTCAAAATGTTACATCCTTTTTCTGCCTCGCTAATTCGTCTCTCTGCACCGCCAAAGAAGTTACAAGTGGGTGATTATGGATAATAATTGTTAATTATTCTTCATTGAGTTTAGTTTTATTATGTGGCACAACCAGGTGTTGACCAAAGGGTAAAAGAACGGCACCAAGGCATAAGCGCCACCTCTGCGGACTAGTGATTTTTTGGCACACGCTTTTGTATAACGCGTGGAACCACTAGTCCGCGAGGGGAAAGGGAGCAGAAAGACAGCGTCTGGACAGATTTGAACTTCTACATGATTGAATACTAGGTCCTCAAAGTGGAGTCACAAACCCGGTCTCTTAGAAAAATCGGGAAAATTGGCGCGCATTACTGTAGACTTGTGCGGCCCGCCCGCTTCAGTGTGCCGCCCGCCTCCTTGGGCGGAACCCGTTGAAGGCAGTGGCTCGGCAAATCTCAACCTTGTCAAATTCTCGCTTACTTCAGGTTATTCGATGCGCTAATCCCAAAAATTCACTTTAGGGAGCTTGAAAACGGCAAAAACGAGCATTTTCCAGTGCCCTTCGCTTGAAAAGTGGACGAGTGGGCAAGGCTGGTGACGCTGGATCGTTGCGTGACCCAATGTTTGTACCATTGGGGCGGCAGCCTCCAATGGCGAGAGGGGAATTGCTAACTCGTCGGAACGCATGTAAGATTGGCTTGCGCGGGTAAGGCTGAGAGCGATTTCCCCGGCAGGAAAGGCATGCTGTGCGACCGGGATTGCACTGTTCTCGTACTTGGGCGATAAGCAACCTACCGCGTCAAAATCCTGAGTAGTTAAGTTTTGCCGATCCGCTGCCTTTAAGCCTTTGACCCTTTTTTGTCGCGCAATCGCATGCATACTGTCGTCCAACACGTTCATGCTTGCTTGTAACAATAACCCTGCACTTTTCCACAACTTGCAAAAAATAACTTCAAAGGGTATTTTTTAACGGACTAACGCATTAATGCCGTCAAGTTCTAGTTAAAGGCACCGTCCACCCAGATAGGGGCCGATGAGATTTTGATGCCTAACAGTAGTGGGGCT